TGATGTTGGGTCCTGCTGGCGGATGGATTCAGCTCTCAAGACTGGAGAGGGTCCCTGCAGGCAGCCTATGTGCCTCCAGACTCCCTCTCCAGTGGGCCCCAGCTCTGGCCAGCCCCAGCTGGAAGCAGGATGGAGAAGTAGACATGAGGACACAGTGGCATAGACCTGCCCTTTCAGGGCAGCTGGCTAAATCCTGTTTCCCCAGCCTTGGGCCTCAGAGCTCTCTGTATGCAACCCCCAGCCTGGCTTCCGGCCTGCCCAGAGCTTGCCAGCTGACCAGCTGGGGACCCTGGCTGCAGGGGTGGCTCAGCCACTGCCACACACAGCCCCTCCAAAGGCCAGACCAGGACTTAAGCTCCCACACTGTTGTCTGATGCTTGTGAAATTGTTGTAGCCTCTGAGGTAGAGGTGAGAATCCCTACTCTGTAGGGGTGGTCTCAGGGGCACACAGTTTACAAGTTTTTCAGTCTACCAGGCTCCAGTACTGAGCACTCACGTGGTCCTACCTGCAGGATCCCCAGGTTCGTAGAGTTACCCACTGTATCTGCTCTGTCTCCTTCAATCCTGGGAGCGCTTGACATAGGGAGGAGGTGAACCTGGGGCAGAGTGGACCCAAACCAACTAAGCCCATGTGGCCCATGGGAGCTGGCCCTGGGCCCTAGGAAGACAGGAGCCCTGGGAGGCTCAGACCCTCTAGGTCTTCATGCAGTGTTTCCCGTTGAGTATTGGATCCTTCCCTAAAGCCCCCAAAGGACCAGCTACAGTTTTCTGTGCAACTCTTGAGTTCTTGTTAAGTTCGAGGCCTGGACCTGTCCTAGTGCTAGGGCCACTGGATAGTGACCGGAAGATCTTGCACAAATACCTGTTGCACACACTGGGGGAAGCGTTCAGGAAAGGGAAACTCTGAGGGGCAGTGTCAGAAGCCACCATGGGCTCCGACCTTGCCCACTGACATCTGGCTGCCTGGAAACCTGGGCTCCTGGGAAACCTGTTCCCTGCCTGTGATTCTGCCAGCCTTCCAGAGCAGGGGTGGGAGCCACAGAGCACCACTGTGGGTAGACAGGGCTGCCCTTTTGGTCTCTGGCAAGATGAGATAGGGCAATATCATCCTCTCTGCTGCTACCCTCAGCATGCCGGAGGCTGCCACAGCCTGGAATTCCTTCACCAGAGTCAGCCCTGGGTTTGCCCGGAATGGCTGGCATTTTGCATCCACCTGAATAGAATTTACTTAACCTTCCCCAAGTGGCTTCATCTTCTGACCCTCCGCATCCCCAAAGATCTCGGGGGCACAGAGGTATGGCTCCCTCCTCTGGGAGCTGAACACAGGTGTTCTGTGTGGCAGCAACCTATGCAAGTGACCTTCCTGGAGGGTCATTCACAGCCTCAGAAATCTGTGTGCCCAGCCATCTAGCACCTTGTGAGGGTGGCTTCACTATGGGTTGCTTCACCCTCTTCTTTCTCTGCAGCTTTTAAAAACATCACAGAGACACTGGCTCAGCAGGGTTTTGTTAGGACTTCAGGTTTTCTAGCTAGTAAGGAATGGCCAGGGAAGGAGAGGAGCTACCTTCCAGCACCTTCCACTCTGCCCCCAGCACCTCACTGTCTGAGGTATGGAGGAACAGGGCAGGCTACCCCCCTCCAGCAGTTCTCTACTAGGCCCAACCAGATCTTCCCCAGGGATCTAGGAATAGCAGCTGAGACCAGGGATTGTGGCTTGCTGGGAGGAGCAAGGGCAAACAGGTTGGGTCCAGGTCAGTTATCAGACTGCAAGGGTCTTAGGGAGGAACAAACGAGTACTGCCCTGAACTAATAAAGGTATACAGTTACTTTCCCTATAGCTGTTGTTAATAGCTATCCTTATATTTAGGGGGAAGTGTGAGGAATGGTTTTGAAGTTATAATTAAAATTTCCACTTGCCGTGGGCAAACAGTTGTGGGTTGAGTGAAGAGATGTTAATGAAGGAAGTAGCTTATTTAAAGAGGAAAAGCTGGACTGAGTGTATATAGCCAGAGGGTGGATGAAGGCCTGGCCTTGCGTGTCTGAGCCTGGCTTCACATCTCGCTGAGTCCTTGAAGCTGGGAAGCTCCAGGGCAGGAGCCCATCCTGGTGTCAGAGGGAAACAAATCCAGCAGCAGCTTGGAGCCCTCCCAGGGATGGTGTGAGAGATGGACAGACATCACTTTGTGAAAGGTGGAGACCAGGCAGGTCTGGACTCTAAACATCTGCCAAGGAGGCGCTGATCTTACTGGAGGATGGGACATTTATGTCCCTTCTGCCTGATCTGTGACTGAGTCAGACTGCTTGAGACCAATCTTGTCACCTGTCAGGAGCTTGGGCCAACCTCCAGGTGCATCACTCTGCTGCTGTGGGTTGTCAAGTGAGGGGCCAGTGGACCCCACCCATTGTGGACCATGAGTTGGTTTACCAGTTGACAGATCACGCCACATACACCTGGGATCTGTGTCCAGGCAGCCCAACCTGCCCTGCCCAAAGGCTGGCCAGATGCCTGAGGTGACACACTACCTGCTTTCTGGGAGCCAGGTGGACTGCACCTTCTTCAAGATCCCAGATGTAGGGGAGACTAGGTGATGGTGACGCACAATCTGGTCCCAGTCTCCACCATCCCAGGCAGGACTCTGCCTATGAAAAGGGGGAAGGAGTCCTACTCACAGGCCTATGGTGAAGATGGGAAGAAAGGCTCTTGGCCAAGTGGTCAAGCTTGTCTGTCAGCTTCTGCCTGTGTGGCCAGTGGGATGAGGTTTGCAGTTCTTCACGGACAGGTAAGGACACGACCACATGCAGTATGCGCCCGTGAGCTCTGGCTCCTGCTTTGTTTCTCTTGAGTGACCCTGGGCTAACCAGTCTCCTGTGAGGGCTGGAAGCAGGCAGATACAGAAGTTGCTGCATCAGGCAGAGCATCTGGGCAACACACTGAGTAACATGATTATAAAGTGCATCTCTGCCTTGTTACTTTGAGGTTTGAAAATGCATGGAAGTGCTGGTCATGGTGGCTCACGCCTGTAATCCCAGCACTCGGGAGGCTGAGGTGGGAGGATCATTACGAGTTCGAGACCAGCCAGCCTGGGTTACAAGTGAGCTCAAGGCCACCCTGAACTGCATAGCGAGACCCCATCTCAAAAAAAGAAAAAAAAAAGAAAATGCACGGAAGTATGGAGACACTGGTGAGAAGTGGAAGCACAATTAGGACAGCAGGAGGAGGCAAGGTCCCCAGGCTGCTGATCAAAGGACTCTGACAAGCTATGCTCTGAGTCTGTTTCCTTAGCAGTAACCTGAGAATCACATTATGTGTCTTGGAGGTTGTTACAAAATGCAAATGGGATAAAGTGTGAAGTCTCAGGCTCTGTCCATGGAACAACCTGACTATGTGATAATGGTTTCCTTTCAATTCTATTGGATGCAGCTTCATACTTGCTGATGAAGTGCTTGGTTAGGGTAATGAAAGATCTGATAGGTTTGTAGCTACTTGGGATCAGATTAGTGACATCTAGGGGCTGGGGATTTACCTCAGCGGCATAAGCACCTGCCTTGCAAGCAGGCGCTCATGAGTTCAATCCCTGGTACTGATAAAAAAATAGAAAAGAAAAAAAAATGTAAAAAAAAGATTAGTGACATCTAGGTAGAAAGGACCCTGTAAACATTAGGAGTGATTCTAATTACCCAGTGCTTTGTTTTCTGATGTCAGGTGCCTGATGCCAACTTTATTGGGCCATCTGGTACCTAGCCTGTATTATGGAGCAAGCAGGAAGCCCAACTCACAAATCATGCTTAGCCTGGGGGTCTCCTGCTGGGGCTAGAGCCCCAAGGGATGGTGCATGTGTCTGGGGCAGGTGCATTCAAGTCTGTCTCCCTCAGATGTTGTACAACCTGTTCTTCTCTTTTCTTTTTGAGTGGGAAAGGTGTACTGGGGAATAGGAAGACAGAAGGGATCCCAAGTGGGTTGCCCCAGAACCTGTTGCTAACTCTGAGACTGGCAGAGGCTTTTCATAGCCCTCATTTCTAGAGCCCTTTCTGCAATCTGGGATGAGGGAAGCACTTTGATAGAGCGCTGTGCCAGTGAAGGAGCGCACTGCAGAATGTTGGGGAGCATCTCCTGTGGGAACAGATAGATGCGGAACCACCTGGGAAGTATCTACCTCCTCAGAAGCAAAGCATGACCAAGGAATAGTTCATTAGGAGCTGCCCTACCATTAGGGTAAACTCTGGGGAGCAGAGCCAGAGCCCTTCTCGAGCTGGCTTCCAAAAAAGGCACATGTATTTCTTTGTTGTGTACCAACATTGTGCAGTGCTGTGCTGGGCACTGGACCCCAAATGGGCAAGTGGGGACCAGAGCTCAAAAGCGAAAACAAAACCTTTGCCAGAGCCAAGGCTGGACTCATCTCCCCAACTGGCATCACATCTTCTGGCCAGAATTTGTTCATTGTGGTCCTACTGGGTGCCTGGGGCTGAAATACCTCATTCAGTATACCCAGTGGTCCGGTCAGACTCCTAGGCATTCTTACTTTACCAAGGAGAGGATGAGGTTCCAGGACTGCAGAGTCATGGAGGGTTGATCTCGAGCTGGGCAGACTTCCCTCTGCCATGCTGCATTCGACGCATGAGGCCAGGGTGGTTCTGACAGCCACTCAGTGTACATGTCTCCTTAGTGCAGATCGCCAAGACCCTTTCTCCAAGCCACTTGGCATCCCATGCACTCTGATGAGGGCTCTAGGGTGCTGGCCAGGGGTCCTGAAGGCTGTGGCTGGCATGGCTGCAGCCCTACTCCATGAACGCTGTTTATTTGAGGTCCAGCTTCTTGCAGCATGAGGCCCCCCAAGACTAATCTGCTTTCAGGCTTTCTCATCCTCAAGGTGTCAGGTTCTTGGCCTTCTTGAGTTCCCATCTCCTCTGTTCCAGGCCTGATGATGCCTCTGCTGTCTGAAAGGAACACGCCAGTCGCAACATGCTGACTCTTGTTCCTTCTGTTCTGTTGTCTTTCCCAGGACAGCGAGGTTTCGGGCTCCACCTTTGCTGATGGCGAGCTCATCCCCAGGGAACCTGGCTTCTTTCCTGACGATGAGGAGGACGACAACCAGGAAGCTATGACACTGGCCCTGCCTGAGGGCCCTCAGGAGTCAGACATGGACAGCCCGATGGAGGGTGCCCAGAGCCTGGAGGGTTCTGTCGGGAGTCCCGGCGAGGAGAAGGAGCAGGGAATCGGGGGCCTGTTTCTGCCAGAGGACAAGTGAGTGAGACAGGAAGGAGATGGGATGTGGCCTCTGGGCCAAAAATGCAGGTCCTAGAAAGTCTCTCCAGGAAGTGCACGTTGAGACATCCTTAGGACTCACAGCACAGGTGTGACTTTCGGGGTTTCTTCATAGCAGGAAATGCTAAGCAGTTTAAGTGTTCAGCAGTAGTAGTAGTTCTGAAATCATAGGCAGCTGTGCCAAGTCAAGTTTTAATCCTGTTTTATGGTACGGGATTCACAATCTTATTCGTTTTTAAAAACAGGTTACAAGAATGCCAGTGAACTAGGATCTTAGCTTTGTTTTTAAAATACAACATGCCTATATATTAGGAAATAGCTGGAAAATATATTCTTTAGAAATTGAGGGGTTATTTCTGGGAGATAGGGTGATTGGTTATTTTAATGATCTCCCATCTGCTTTGGGATGTAATATGTATTTTCTGTATTGAGAGACCCATCTCATTAGATGTTTGAGAGTAGTATAAAGACCTAATGATTGAGGGGGCTGGGTGTAGCTCATGCTGGAGTGTTTGGCTGTGCATGTGGCTGTGTTTGATCCTTAGCACCACGGGCAGTCCATGATGATTGGAAGTGGTGACCCAGGTATCAGAAGGTGATGGGAGAGAAGGAGGAGGGCGGTCCCATCATGATCGGACCACGTGGAATTGCCAATATATAATCGTTCTCCTCTTTTCCCTCGGGAAGTAACTTCATGTGATTTAACCTGACACATTTGCTTCAGGCTGGTTTGTCAAACTGCTGTCGTTCTGAGGGTTATGATTTCTAGACAGTACCCTATGGAGCACTTTACCTATCATGGGGTCCGTGTTGCTTCCTGAAAGCAGTTCAGGTCCTGTACCCGTGATTAGCTAACCCAAGGAGAAGGGCTGTGGACAGGAGACCTGTTGATCTCTTTTGTTGTTGTTGTTTTTATTTTGGAGACCAGGTGTCGCCATGTAGTTCATGCTGGCTTTGAACTCACTGTGTAGCCCAGGTCAGCCTTCAACTCATGGTGATCCTCCTGCCTCAGCCTTCTGAGTACTAAGATAACAGGTATCCACCACTACACCTGGCTGACCTGTTGATCTTTTTTTTTTTTTTTTTCTTTTTTGTCTTTTTGAAGCAGGATCTCGCTGTGTGGTTCAGGCTGCCTTGGGCTCACTTTGTAGCCCAGGCTGGTCTCAAACTTGCCACAATCTGCCTGCCTCAGCCTCCCAAGTGCTAGGTGGCACACAGGAGTGTGCCACCATGCCTGGCTTGACCTGTTGATCTTGTAGTTAATCATCTGCCATCTGGTGGTCCAGTTGTTGCCTGTGACTGCCACCAGGAGGCTAGCCAGTAGTGGGGGGAGGGGCAAGAGTTTAGTAAAATTTTTAAGTAGAAGAATAGAGCAGTATGACTAATCCACCCTACAGTGCTAGGGAACCTGAGGATAGACTAATAAATAAATAGATAAATATAATACTGTCCCAGGAGACTTATCTTTAGATCCTGTCAAGGGGTTGGGGATTTAGCTCAGCGGCATAAGCGCCTGCCTTGCAAGCAGGTAGTCCTGAGTTCGATCCCTGGTACCGATAAAAAAGAAAAACACACACAAAAAAAATAAATAGATCCTGTCATTAACACTGATTCTTAGATAATCCTGGAATACCTCAGGGACATGGTTAAAGAATTACTACCTTAACCCTGACATGCTTTTTGCACTGGTCGGATTTCCCATTTTTGAGTGTGATGGCTCAGAGAGGTTGGGGAAATCGTGATCTGTGGGCCATAACAGAGAGATACTGCTGCACAGTGACAGGAGGACCCGCTTGGCAGGTGGGGCGTTGCAGTTCTCGTCATCCTTGGGTTGTAGACAGGCTCAGCCAGACCCCTTGAGCCAGAGTCCGTACCACAGGTCACTCGTAAGAGGGCCCTAGGCCTGCGGTCTCTGGCCCATGTTCTTTGGGCTTAGGATTCTTTGGACTAGAAATCTCCCCTGCTAAACTGAGATGCTTCTCACCAAATAAGGGCATTGTCATTTCATTATAAAAGATGTGCACATTGATTAAAGAAACCCTGGAACAGGTAGAAAAAGTGAGAAAAGGGAGGAACAACCTCCCGTAAACCCAAGTCCTGTTGCCATTTTAATATTTTTCCTATATCTTCTCCTCCCACATAGACCTTATGCACAGTCTTTTAAAAAGCATCAAAGTTATATCTAACTTAATTTGTATTCATCTCACTGCATCATTGCCAATGTTTTTATAAGCCTTTCAACAACTGTTGGATAATCCAATAACTTGGTTCACTAATAAGTGTTCTAATTTAATAACTGTAATTTGATTGTAGTTTTAAATCTAGTTTGTAGCTAAACCATTCAGTGGTAACCAGAGTTTCAGTACTTTGGGAAAGCTCAGGTTTGCATCTCTCCAGTGCAGAGAGCTTCCGGGGAGGTCTCCCCTCGAGGGGGCGTCCTGCAGATCAGACTTGATCAGACTTCATCAGGTTTCCGCTGTCAGCAGTACTGAGGGGTGCCTCTAGCCCTTCACTAACCCGGTGCTTGCGCCCCTAGGTCCTTGGGCCACACCCCATCCATGACGACCTCAGACCTTTCTACACACTCCACCGCCTCACTCATCAGCAACGAGGAGCAGTTTGAAGACTATGGCGAGGCGGATGATGTGGACTGTGCCCCCAACAGCCCCTGCCCTGATGATGAGACCAGGACCAACGTTTACTCAGACCTGGGCTCTTCAGTGTCTTCCAGGTGGTCCCTTGGTCTGGGGTAGTATTTGGAGCCCCAAAGAACAGGAGAACCAATCCAGCCTCAACCCAGGGGATCAGGCAGGCAGATTCCTGAGCTCACTGCCTTTCCTTCTGGCACATGCCACATGAGTCGGCTCCTGGGGGTGAAGGATGTTGTCCTTGAACCCTGATTGGGATTCTGGAATTCTTCCTTCCCCTTCCACCTTGGAAAAGAAAATAATTACTGACCTGGGAGGCTGAAGAATGAACTTTCAGGGGTGTACAGTGTCATCCTGCTTCCTATAATCTCAGTGTTAGAAGCTTCTTCAGAGTGCTTTCTGTGAGCCCTTCCCACCCACCTGAGTCATTACGTCTCACATTGACTCTGTTTTCTTATCTATTAAATGAGCTTAATTACTAGATTTTTCTCTTTGAGAGTGCTAGGAAAGCAAGGCTGTGTTGCTTTATTTCTGCTCCCCACATCCCCCATGTAGTCCTTGGGGCAGGGTGGGACAGGGCACGGCCTAACAGCAGCTGAGAAGGTGATCTCCTCCCCTTCTCTGGATCAGTGCGGGACAGACCCCGAGGAAGATGCGGCATGCATACAACAGCGAGTTGCTCGATGTGTACTGCTCTCAGTGCTGCAAGAAGATCAACCTGCTGAATGATTTGGAAGCCAGGCTGAAAAACCTGAAGGCCAACAGGTAAGGCTGCAGCCCAGTGGTGGCAGAAGCTACCAGGCTGGGACTGGGGGGGAGAAGCAGCAGGCAGGCACCCACTCTCTTAGCAGGACCAAGAAATCACATTGCCCCTTCTGGGGACCAAGAAGATGAGTGAGGTCCCTTCAGTGGAGGAAAAAGTCAGTCTTCAGCATGGGAGTCAGGGTAGACCAGAACCTCATCTGTCCAGTGACTGTTTCTTCTCTCTTTCTCTCTCTAGCCCCAACCGGAAGATCTCTAGCACAGCTTTTGGACGGTAACCACCCCAACCCGCCCTTGCTAGATATTCCTGTTTATGTGCCCCTGCTGCCTAGGGCTAGGGCTCCATGCCATCAGCCCAAACACAGCCTGTGCTACGTGCAGCTAAATGAGCAGAGAGGCATGAGGCTGTCCCAGGGGCACAGCAGAACAGCCAGGTCTGCTTCTGAGAAGCAAGGCCAGCCGCCTCCTTGGCCTCCTCCCAAGCCTGCCCTGCACCAAACATCATTCAACTTTTAGTGACCTCAGCCTGGGTAATCTGTGGGGTGCCAGAGACACAGCACACCCCCAGCTGCCTTCCCTCCATTCTGGAGCAGAAGCTGTGTTCCTGCTGGCAGAGACCCAGTGCAATGCCCCCCATCAGAGCACCTTGTCTGAGGAAATCTTGCAGCAGCTGACACTGGTTCCCCACAGATTGGCCCAGGTCCATACCCAGGGAATTCGGAGCTGCCAGTGAGCACCCAGCTTGCAGACCAGAGCTAACATGGCCCAGATCCTGGCTACTGCCTGTCGAGTGATAGGGAAAGGGGTGTCACTGGAGGGTAGCAGCTGGAATTTTCCAGGGGTGACCTCTTCAAGTGTCCACCTGTTTGCATTTTCATCCCTCAGCTGAGTTCCCTGAAAGGAGCAGGTGGCTCTGCCTCCCCTCACCCTCCTTAGGTTTCCCAAGATGGAGCCCTAGAGTGGAGGGGAGCATGCCTTACAAGGAGCCTGTGGAGGCCCACAGGGCAGACCTGTGGATCCATGCCACCTCTGTGGCATTTTCTAGCTGGAAGATGAGGCCCCTTAGGCCCACCGTGCTCGCTTGGTAGCTGCCAGTAGCACTGGAGTGAAACGGGTTCAGAGGTGGCAGGAAGGAGCTGTGACCAGTTGGCTGTGGCTGCCAGAGGCTCTGGAGAGATGGGCATAGCAGCTCCTCTGCTGTCCTCTGAGCATAGTCTGCAGGGTGTGGAGCTCAGGCCTCAGCTCCTCCTGTGCTGAGTGAGGGCCACCTGCTTCACTGGGGTTCCTGGCATTAGATGCTTGCCCAGCCCATGGCTTGAGCTCTGAGAGGCCTCCACAGCCGCCGCCCTCCTCACACCTGCAGGCAGCTGATGCACAACAGCAACTTCAGCAGCAGTAACGGCAGCACAGAGGATCTGTTCCGGGACAGCATTGACTCCTGTGACAATGACATCACGGAAAAGGTAGACCCTGAGTGGTGTAGAAGGAAGGGACTCAATGTGTGCCTGCTCCTGGAGGCAGTGAGGAGCACTCTGGGCTGCCATCTGAGACTTGAGAGATTCTGTAGCTGCCCAGGTAGGGGATGGGGCACAGGTCTCAGGCTGCCCCTCCCATGACTGTTGTGTTCATGCATGGTCATCTAGAGGTCTCAGTCATGAACATGGGTTTCTCAGTGCTGTGGCCTCAGAAGCCTTCTCCATTCCACCCCTACCCCACCATGCAGGTGAGCTTCCTGGAAAAGAAGGTGACGGAGCTGGAGAATGACAACCTGACCAACGGGGACCTAAAGAGCAAGCTGAAGCAGGAGAACACGCAGCTGGTACACAGGTCAGGCTGGGGTCGGGCTGTGGTCTTTGCTCTGAGGGTTGCAGGGCTGACCCTCTGTCCTCTGGAGCTTAACTTTGACTGTTGGTCCAAAGGATTTCCCAGGTGTACAGCCTCCAGAATGGTCTGAGACAGACTCTGGGGTCTCTTGACTCATTGGTTGCAGTAACAGGGTTTCCTGGGGACCAGTGCTGCACGGGGGAACCAGGAATGGGTCCAAGCACTGCTGTGTGTGGAGGTCCGTGGAGTGCAACATTCCCAGCACTCGGCAGTGGTGCTGGACTCAGTTGTCCTCTTCAGATGCAGGAAACCTGGTATCTGGTTTGGGACCTGGGCCCCTACCTTGTGGGACACCGTGGTGGGCTCTTATACAGCCCAGGTCAGCCAGGTGTATGATCTGCTGGCAGTGAGGGGTACCTGAGACTGATGGGCCAGAGAGGCCACAAGTAATGGGCTTAGAACCATTCATGGGCCTGGTCCTTTCCCAGGTCTGGGATGTTGGGGCCATTGGCCAGGATGTACCCATTTTTTGGAGTAACGGTGCCGAACAAGCTGAATTGTTGCCCAGAGGGGCCCTGGTTGGGAAAGCAGAGCAAAGAGATGCGACCTGAAACTCTGTGTCCAGTGTGAGGCCTACTACCCTCCCTGTGCTGCCCCCTCTTTCATGGTCAAATGTCCTCTGCACCTCTCTGGTGCATGTGACAGACACACCTCTCCTTAGATGTTGGGGGCCCTCATTCATCTATCAGCAAAGCTGCTGGCCCACAGGTCTAGAAAACACTCCCCACCTCCATTAGTAGACATGTTAGGACTTCCTGTGCCACAGCCTGTATTGGGAGGAGACGACAAAGGCCATGAGAACATGCCATGAGTTGTACCCTCCCCCAGAGTGCACGAGCTGGAGGAGATGGTGAAGGACCAGGAGACCACTGCTGAGCAGGCGCTGGAGGAGGAAGCCCGGCGACACCGTGAGGCCTACAGCAAGCTGGAGCGGGAAAAGAGCACGGAGCTGGAGCTGCTCAACACCAGGTGCACAGCGCCCAGAGCCTGCTACCTCTGTATGCCCTGCAGCCTCAGCCCTAGCAGAGACTGTGTGCCTGTTACATAGACAGGAAAACTGAGCCCGTATTCCAGTAATTCCATTTTGATACCTTAAAAAAAAATGGATGTTTTCATTAGGGAATCCATAGAAGAGTGCTTATGTCAGGTAAATGGAATAATACAGATGTCCACAAGATAATAGGTTAGAGCTGGGTGTGGTGGCACACACCTGTAATTCCAGCACCCTAGAAGCCGAGGCAGGAGGATTGCCACAAGTTTGAGACCAGCCTGGGCTACACAGTGAGTTCAAGTCCAGCCTGCAAAAAAAAAGTTAGAAGCTTTGACCTGCTCTGATGGCTAGAGCTGGAGCTCCCCCTGGTGTCAGATCCTCATGACCCTGAATACCTGGGCAGATGGACCCCAGCCAGATGCCAAGGGGAATAAAAAACCAGTCTGTGGGCACTTGTGCCTCAGGTGTAGGCGTGGCTTCACTGCTGAAACCTGAAGCAAGCAGAGAATGAGGCAGTACAGGATGGGCTCTGCACTGGCTCCTCATTAGCCCGTGACCTCAGGTGTACTGTGTCGTCCCCCCTTCTGTGTGCTGTCCCTCCCTATCTTCCCTGCCGAGCCTGGGGACAGAGGGGAGCTGAGGCACACTTGCCCGTTATAAGGCCTTGCTCTGCCTTTGCTGTTAGCCAAAGCTGCCTGGCCCCTGACTGTTCTTACATACATCCTGGAGCCTAGCAATAGTGTATTGAGCACTGGCTGGCAGGTAGTTTTGTGCGAGGCTCCCTTCCCAGCTCCCCTGTGCCTGGCACCTGCTTTGTCACCCTCATCGGCGGGGCGCATCTTAAATTTGAAATTGTGCTGTAAAAGCTGCTGTTTATACACTTTGGTTCGGGTGAGGGAGGTTGTTGCCTTAAGGGTGAAAGCTGTCACCTGTCTGCTACTGATGGCTGCCAGACAGGGGTGCCTGTAACCCCAGTTGAGAGAAGACAGCAGGAGAGTGGGCCAGAAGATGAGGCATATAAATCCCAGGAATCTCCTAACCCTGCCCCTGCACAGCTCCCCAAGGCGCTGTTCGTGCACATGGTCACTGAAGGCAGGCCGCCTTCCCCAGAGGGTCTGAATTCCTCTCTGGCACTGGCCTGAGGCTCTGCTAGGGACCCCTGTAGGCAGCAGTGGATGCCAGGAACCCATCCTCATCTCAGGGTGTGCTGCAGGAATCTGCCAGAAATGGTGCTGTGCACACTGACCCTCCAACTCCCCTGACTCCCAGGCCACCTGAATACCAGGTTCTGTCTGCTGCTGAATCACTGCCAACAGCCCTGTGTGAACACCGGCCCAGGGCCACTGCCACGGGAGCCAGGGCCTGTATACATCAGAGGCAGCCGCCTGAGTGTACAGAGGGCACCTGCAGAGCTGCTGGGGCGGGAGTGTGGAGAGCATATGTGACCATTGCCTTCGAAGGACAAATTCTGACAGGAGGACCCATCAGAGCCAATGACAGGAAGACTTTCTCAGTCTAGCAGAAAAACGTCCCTCCTGGGTTTTTTGAGGCTTCAAAGGATACATGGAAAAGGAATTCACTTTGCGGCAGGGTAGAGTGGCACACACTGTGATCCCATCACTTACTCAGACAAATGTTTCCTCTTTGAGGAAAAATAAGCTTTGGCTGCTAACAGGAAGTTCAAGGGTACACAGACTGTGTGTACTTCATTCAGGATGCTTTGGGTCCAGAAGTGTTTCAGATTTCAGGGTTTTGTTTCAGATGTTTTAATATTTACATATGCATAATGAGATATCTCCAGAAAAGGACCCAGGTCTAAACATGAAATTGATTTGTTTCATGTACAGTGACATATATCACCTAGGGTAATTTTATACAAATTTTAAATTTGTATATGAAACAGTCTCGTGGGATTTTCCATTTGTGGGATCATGTCAGTGCTTGGGATGTTCTTGATTTCGGAGCTTTTAGACTTCTGAATTAGGAGTGTTTAACATATATTTATCATTCAACATAACTGTTCTTTTTTGTCTTTCTAAGATAGGGTTTAACTATGTAGTTCAGGGTGGTTTTGAATGCACTTTGTAGCCCTGGCTGGCCTCAAACTCAGAGAAAATGCCTTGGCCTCCCCAGTGCTGGGATTACAGGCATGCACCACCATCCCCGGCCTCCACACAGCTATTGTCTCTCTTTTTTCTCCCTTTTGGTTTGCTTTGGTTTGGTTTGGTTGAGTCATGGTCTCTCCATGCAATTCAGGCTGGCCTTGAACTCACAGGGCAGTCTATGTTGGTCTCAAATACAATGATTCTCCTGCCTCACCCTCCAGAGTGCTGAGATTATAGGGTTCTCCACCACAATTGGCTTGTCTCTTTTTCTTAGGTGTTTTTTTGTTTTGTTTTTTTATATTTTCCCTTTTTGTGTTGTTTGTGTTTTCCCTTTTCCAGCAAGCAGCAGAGAGCTGCAGGTTGTCATTCTCTTGTGAAATGATTTCCATTCCGCATTCCTAAGATTGTGTCCTCCTTCTTTCCCCAGGGTGCAGCAATTAGAGGAAGAAAATACCGAGCTTAGAACAACTGTGTCACGACTCAAGGCCCAGACAGAGAAACTGGACGAGGTGAGCAGCAGGTTGGGGCAAGGTCTGAATCCACAGTAGCATTGTTGACCACGAGGGAGGGGCCTTTAGTTTTAAGTTTCTGAAATTCTAAAAAAACTGCCGTACCATAAAAGTTGCCAGAAACATGTGAATGATGATGTGTGTTTCTGACTTGCCGAGTTTTCTACCGTGAATATATAGCACGTGCTGTGCATTCCTTATGGTCCTGAAGGACCCTGGTTAGTTTCCAGTTCGCGGTAACAGCTTCTTCCCAGCTCCCCTGCACCATTGGATGACCTTAGAGGCCTGAGATGTTCTTCACTGTTTCTAGAGTTGTAGAAGACCTGGCTATTTTTGTAAGCCATGACTCAGAGAGCTCTGTCATTTGAGGTGTCCAATAGCTCCCTAGGGAAGTGCCTGGGCATTATGTGCCCGTGTCAGGAAACTCTCCTGCCCTGACTGGGTCTCTGGCTGCAGGAGCGACAGCGCATGTCCGACCGGCTAGAGGACACCAGCCTTCGGCTCAAGGATGAGATGGACCTGTATAAGCGCATGATGGACAAGCTCCGGCAGAATCGCCTCGAGTTCCAGAAGGAGCGGGAGGCAACACAGGAGGTATGTCCCAGGCTTGAGGCTCCTATGGCTCCCCACAGTGTTCCTGCTCTCACCAACCGGCCTGTCCCCCCCTGCAGCTCATCGAAGACCTGAGGAAGGAGCTAGAGCACCTGCAGATGTACAAGTTGGACTGTGAGCGGACGGGCAGGGGCCGAAGCTCCTCCTCTAGCTTGGGAGAGTTTAATGCCAGGGCCCGAGAGGTGGAGCTGGAGCATGAGGTCAAGCGACTAAAGCAGGTGGGCCTGGGAGCTGATACCCAGCAAGCCTCTGGGATTCCGGTGCAGAGAACACTACCCCAGTACATACACTGTTAAACTATCAGGGCCAGCCAGCCTGTTGCACCTCAAGTGGTCAAGCCACAGCTCTGGCTCTCTGATGGGTCCCAGGATCTTTCTCTCGTGTCGCACACTACCGTCCTGTCATTGGTGCTTGGGGTGAGGATGAGTTGACACCAGCTACAGATTAGTGCCTGACTGGCATGGGTCTCCAGAAGCAGAGCTCTCATTTCACATAGTTCTTGGGAGTGCTGCGTTCGTAGGAGACCAGTCCGGCAGTGAGGGTGAGGAAGTGGGTCATGAGAGAGGAGTAAGTACCCTGCGGGTGTGATGTCTGTTCGGGTCCCCCAGCTCAGCCAGACCCTGCAGCTGGAGGCTGTGGCCCAGTCACACCTCTGAGTTTGTATCACCACCTGTGGCAGAGGTGCTGGTGGCTAGGTGCCCATTAGGAACCCTAAACCCAGCCCATCTAGAGGAGCTCCCAGGTCTCGGGTTTGAGCCTTAGGTGCCTTCAGGCAGCAGGTGGAGCTTGGGGTCGTGACCCTAGGGTAAGCTGTCCTCAGGAACAGAGACACCCAAAGCAGCTGTCCAGTGAGAGGGAGTCTGGAGCCTGGCTTTGAGGAGCCGTGGGAATGAGCCATCTGCCTGCCCAGAGCTGCCCAGAGACAGCCCCTCTGAGCAGGACCAAAACTACCCCTCCAAGCCAATGAACTCGCAGGACACCAGGCCCCTAGACCAGGACCCAACCGCTCCACCCTGATACCCTGATACCACATCATCTGTAGGGCACTGGGACTGGCTGTGACACACACAGGGAGGGAACTGGTGGCCACTGGGAAGCAGTGGATGCAAAGAACTGGGCTCCAGCAGGCTCCGTTGCTTCTGGGAGCTGATGGTTATCTTTGGTTTTTTTGTTTGGCTGGTTTTTTGGTTTTGGTTTTTGGTTTTTGAAACAGGGTCTCACTGTGCAGTTCAAGCTGGCCTTAAGCTCACTTTGTAGCCCAGACAGGTCTCAAATTTGCAACAGTTGTCCTGCCTCAGCCTCCCAAGTGCTGGGATTACAGGCGTGCACCTCCATGCCCAACTGGTAATGGTATCTTTATCCTGTCCCTGCAGGAGAATCACAAGTTACGGGATCAGAATGATGACCTGAATGGACAGATCTTGAGCCTCAGCCTCTATGAAGCAAAGAACCTCTTTGCTACCCAGACCAAAGCCCAGTCTCTGGCTGCAGAAATAGACACAGCCTCTCGAGACGAGGTAGCCCTGTCCTCTTGTCCTTTGTGTGGGTTCTTCCCATTTCCTCCCTTCTGAAACCGTGAGCCCCAGGCTTCCCACAACCCAAATGCCAGGCCAGCACCTTCCTCCATAGAGACCCATCAAGGGTCTCTTGCCTGCTGCCAAGCAGGCAAGGGAACCAGTATTTCTTGTTTGCACATGTTTTCACTTAGCTAACTCTGGGGCTGTGTGACATCTCAGGGACACAGGTTCCTCCAGTTTGAAAGGGGGAGAGACCCAGGCTTTTCTGGTCATGGACCACTTTGTCACAAATACCAAAATACCTAACAGTCCTTTAAGGTGAAATGAAGACCCCATGTCACTTATTTCCTTCTTCTGCCTGGGACTTAGAGCTCAGATGAGGCTTCTAGTCTAAAGGAGTCCCTGGGGGAGCTGGCACCCTGGGGGAGCTGGCACTCTAAAGGATGTGCTGAGAGCTGCCTGAGGCAGGGCAGGGCTGGGGTGGGGAGAGGGTGCCCCTTACAGGTGGAAGACACAGCTTGCGGCCCCAGGAGTTTTCGGCCTTGGGACTGTGAATGTGACTGTCCATTAAAATGCCTCTGGCAGTGTTCTCAGCCTTTATGAAGGAGCACTCTGGCCTCTCCACAGACCAGTTGCATTGCCACAGACTCTTGGCCTCTGAGTGCTGAGGTTGGCCAGAGGCTACCTCACCCAGGGCCCCTCTTGTCATCGGGCACTGGCTCACTGCAAGTCCAGGAGTCTGGACTGTGGTCAGCTCAGGCCCAGCCCCTGACCATCTTTCCTATTCCTACAGCTCATGGAAGCCCTAAAGGAACAGGAGGAGATCAACTTCCGGCTGAGGCAGTACATGGACAAGATTATCCTGGCCATCCTGGACCATAATCCCTCCATCCTGGAGATCAAACACTGAGCCAGGCTACCTGCAGAGCAGCCTCAGGACCCTGGGACCCAGGGGCAGGCCTGCTCAGGGACACAGGCCAGCTCCACACTCACATTCACACTATAAATGTACCTCTGGCTGCCATGCATACCGTGTGCTGTTGTACGCGTGGAGGGGCCCTGAGCACACGCATGGTAGGGTGAGCATGGGGCCGTGGTTATGAGTGACCCCTGCACAGCGAACTGTGCCTGCACTTTGTGGGCCTTTTGCAGTGGGCAGAGGGCCCTGGAAGCGTGAGGGGGCAAGATGTGCTCTCAGGAGTTACTGTAATAATGAGAACTGGAAGCGCGTGTTTCAGATACTGGATAAAATGACTCTACCTCTGGGGATGAGGAGGAGGAAATACCCTAGGGAGAGGGCTCTTACCCCGCCTGACCTGCTGGGAATAGGAGCAAGATGGTGAGCTTTCCAGGAGTGACATTGTCCTTGCCAGGCTCTCTGGTCACTTTTCACATCTGGGTATTGAGGCTTGGAGGGGAGGAAGAGGTGTGGGAGGAGCTTCTCCCCTGGGCGTGGCCCTGTGTGGCTGGGGTGCGTGGGGACCAGAGGTTCACTGGGCAGCTGCATGGGCCGTTGTCTTCTGGTGAGGTTCTTAGCATTTTTAAGTTCTCTGTGTCTGCTCCATCCCTGCTTACCTACCTCCCATTTCTGCTTTTGTTCTGTTTTTAAAACAGTGAAATATAGGCACCATTCACTTGGGTATTAAATAATCAAAAAGAAAGGAAGAGATGGGGACATGGAGGTGTGTGAGGCCAGTGCTTGAGAGAAGCAACCAAAGAAACGACTTCTGGGGAGGAGCCTGTTCCCTAGGCTGCGTCTTGATGCGGGCCAAGGCCTGTCCCACCCATCATGGCTCCACATGGCTTGCTGAGAGCAGTGCTTGGGCTGGGTCTCGGAGTCCATGCTCTGGGTGCTCCTAGGAAGCACGACGTTCCTGTCCTCGCCCTGAGGAGCAGACCGGTGTCTGCTTCTGCCCCCTGGGAGCTCTTCTGCCTCAGGGAGAGGGAGGGGGAGGCGCACAGTTGACAGAGTTGCAGAGAAACCTTAGTCTTCCGACCTATGGTGGGAATTCACACCATGGATTTTTTTAATGTGATCTTTTATTCTGGGGGCTTGGAGTAGATACTGTACTTTCCTTTGAGTGTTCCAGTTTATCTCCATTTTGTATAGCTCGTGATTTGTTTCCTTAACCCAAGTTGGTAGAAACAACATGTGGTTTTATTTCTTCCCCCGTAGCTCCTTGTTTTCCTAAGCACATCTAGTGTAAGAAGCAAGGCTGGGGTGATGCCAGGAGGAGCAGGAAATGTGTGTGCAGAGAAGGAAGGGCACGGAAGGTGGAAGAAAGGCTTGGGACTTGGCTGTGCTTCCCGCTTGACAGGGACAGGGCTGTGGCCAGGACCAAGCTTCATTCCATTGCCATCGCCTTGCACGTTTGTTAGATCTCTTTATAATTGTATGTATGGGGTTTGTTTCTTGCTTCATATAAGGGGTTGCACTGACTATCGCCATCTACACCCAGCAGTCTGGGTAACAGTTGGTCTCTGGGAGCCTCAGCTCTTGGCATCCAGGTCGCCTTGGGCTCACCACGAGTCTGAGAAGACACAGGCCAAGACCCCCTGAGGAGTGGGTGTCTTGAGAACTTGCTAGTAGGCCATGACTTCAGGGTAAAAGACAGTTGATGGTGTTGGTCCGGGTTTGCTAGTAAAAGGTATCCCTCAGAAGCCAGTGAAGTCAGGGTCCTGGCCTGTGAAGGGCTTAGTCTGGGGTTCAGTACTGTACACATGTGTGCTCCTTAGCTGCATTGGTGCAGGTTTCCAGAGAAGGCAGCGGAGGCCAGGGTCAGAGTCAATAGGTGAAGGGGTCTGCCAAAGGAAAACCGGGCAGGCGGAAAGCTGTCGGCCTGCAAGGCCCTGCGGGCTCCTCCCTGTAGGGGGCGCCAGGAGAACTGAGTGTGCCAGGAAATGCAGTCTGGAAGCCACCTAGCTGGAGACCAGTGCCGGAGAGGCCAGACGGCCTTTTAACTGAGGAATTAAATTCCACGAAGCCCACCTTCTTACTTCCTTCAACCAGGATGTATGTCTTACAAAATCTCATCAGTCAGCTTGTTTTTTAAGATGATCTTGTGTTTTTGAAATGCACTGCTGGGCTTGAAAGTTGAGGCAGACAACTCAGGGTCTCAGGTCCCCAGCCCCTGGAGCAGGCTCCAAAACCATGCTTGGTAATTCAGATTTAAACAACAAATAACTTTTAACTTTTAGAATAAATATGATCCATGCCGTACTTGGGACATGTTGAAAATAAGGTTTTAAAAACTTGAATCTCCGGATGTTCTGGTTTAATCAGTGTAGGTGTGGCTTAGGCCTTGAAAATTTTTATGAGCACTCCAGCTGATTCTAATTCATCTGAGTGTCTTCTCTGGGAGGTTTGGTATTTCCTATTTTTTATTTGTTGCCAAACTTGACAACCCCAACAAATAGGAATTACCAGAAATTTGCCTGAAGTTAGTGGGTGATTTTCTGCAATTGAGGAAAGTGGGGGTTTTTGTAGAAGAAGGTGCTTTTGAGCCAGGTGAATAGCACATGCCTGCAATTCCAGCTACTCAGGAGGCTGAAGCAGGAGGATGCAAGTTTGAGGCCAGCTTGGTCAACACAAGATTCTGTCTCAAAAAACAGACCTAGAGATACAGCTCAGTGGATTTGCTGCCCAGTACCAGAAAGAAAAAAAATGCACATTTTACCTGACACTGAGCTGCCACTCTGTTTAGAACCTCTTGAAGCACCATATCCTGGAAGAGAAGTTTGCAGCCTTGGCTGTGCACAGGAGTCATCTGAAGAGATTTTCGAAAGTTCTGATGACTGGGCTCCCACCCCCACCACACACACACACACACACACACACCCCACACACCTATGGTCTGGATTTAACTGATGTGGGTGTGGCCCTGGCATCTGGAACTGTACAGACCTCCCCAGTGATGCTGAGGTATAGCTCAAGGAGAGGCCCCTTTATCCTGAAGGTCATTGCCCAAACAGAGAGGAAATGAGGCTTGCTGAGCCAGGGCTAGAAGAAAGCCAGTCCTCTGTGGGTACAGTCAGTGGTGGCTTTTTCCTGCAGTGATGCTGTCGAATGGTCTTTGCCCAGGATAGGAGGCCAGGTGCCTTCAGGACTGGTGGATCCTGCTGTTCTCAAAGCTGAAAGGTTATTGAGCCTGAGTGGGTGGCAGGCTCTGCCTGATGCCCCCATAGTCCCAAGTGACACGTGTTTGGATATACTGACCAAGACTCACACCCCAGTGGGATTAGAACAGTCAGCTGAGAGCTGTCCCCTGAAAGCAGTCTGGACCACAGCAGCCACCTACTTGTACCACAGAGCAGGAGGGGTCACTGGCCTTGTGGACTCTGCCCATTTCCTGACAGCAGCTGAAGGAAGTTCCCGTTCTTTGCAGCCTGCTTGTGCCACAGAGGCTCCAGGTGCCAGTCCTCTGGCCAGTCTGATCCTGGCCTAACAAGACTGACCCACTGAGGGGCTTAACAGCCAGCCAAAGCCTTGGGCAGGGCCTAGCAAAAGAAGGAGAAATACGATCCTCTTGTTGTGCTGTGTGTATGAGACATGAGCAGTGCCAACCCAAACTGTAGATGTGACTGGAACAGGGCAGGCTTTTGGGCAGTTACCATGTGAAGATCCCCAGAGACCCTGCCGAGGGCCGAGGTGGAGTCCGGGTTGAGGAGGGGCCGTTTAGGTGCTGGTACTGGCCCCCTCCACAGTCTTGACTCCCATGCTTCCTCTCTGGACCCATGGTCCCCTCCCTAACGTGGCACTTACAGTTGGTAAGACTGAAGTGTGCCCCATTAAAGGCCTCAAATTAGAGGGGCATGGAGCACTGATCATAGGGACCTCCCGGTCTGATGCCCTATTTACCCTACGTGCACTGGTGGAAGGCAGTAAGGACTGGAACCGTGGGCTTCTTCCTGGCAAGACAGCCCTGAGCCCCTCTGCCATCCCCCAGTTGCTCACCGAAAGAGAACAGCTGTGTTCCAGAAGGGGTTCCTTCTCAGTGTGGAACCAGGTGGGGGTGTGCCGCTGTCCTTCCTGGGAACTGGGTTTCCCCCATGACCTCACTGCCCCAGCCCTGTAGGCTCCCCCTTCTCTCCATTGTGACTGTCACGTTGGGGTGTCAGCCCCAGCCAAGGACAGCATCCCTGGCCACCTCCTGCAGGCCTAAGTGCTGATATCCCAGCGGTGACCCTGACTCCTTGTGGGGGCCGTTGCTTTGCTGTGCTGCGCAGGCTGTGATTTTTGTCTGCATGGTTTGGGGTCTTTGTCCGTGTGCCTTTCTCCCTTGTCACCACTGTACAGGATTCTCCGCGTTACCCACTGCCCCATTTTCTACGTTCTCCCCTTCCCTCCTCAGCCCTGGAAGTGTAACACACGTCTGCTTTGTAGCCTTGCGCCTCCGCCGTGTAAGGCCTTGCTCGAGGACACATCCATGAGTATCAGCCCACCACTCCTTGGCTCACCCAGTCTTGTACAGAATTTTTCCATTGTCTTAAGCTCGAGGGTGCTTAGGCCCTTAGCCTGCAGATAGTTTAGAAGCCTTGCTTCCCAGAAAAGGGTAACTTTGTGTAAAACAATGTCTCTCACAATCCTCTTCCTGTTTTGCTGTGGATATTTATAGAGGGCAGAGTGCACTTTTAACCTGGGGCAGTGGCCCTGGTAGGGATGTCAAGGTGCTGTGGCAGCTACAGTATCCACTCTGCCTCCAGAGGAAGCCCTCCCTGGGGGGTGAAGGACCACAGCTCTGGAGTATAGAACAGCTGTGGACCCCAGCGGGGCTGAAGGAAGAGGCTGCTACTCTCCCTGCCTGCTCTCAATACCTGCCCAGCTGCCCTCGTCTGCCGAAGGTGCTCAGACCAGAGTGCCATTAATAATACCGGACTGTGTCAGGACCTCGATGGGATGGTGCATGAGAGAGGACTCGTCCCACTGGCTCCCCTCTGTCCAGCTCTTGTCACCCTGGGCAGGGTCTCCTGGGGCCCAGGGCAAAAACACTGCCCACATGGCTTCACTGGTCAGGAGTTAGATTGTTTTGACTCCATGGTACTCAACTTGGGTGTTTTTGCCTCAGGAGCCCATGTCTGGAAACAGTTCTGGGGCTAGAGAGGGACCTGCACTTTCAGGTCCTGGGGAGCAAAGTGTGGGTGAGGTCCCAAGGCTGAGTCCCAGGTCCTGAGCTCTTCGCCTGAAGCCTGCTTTCCTCCAGCTAGGAGCAGGCTCTCCACGGCAGGCACCTTCCAGGGAACTAATGTACAGACAAGATGTAAATAAATCATTGGCTTTTCTTGCCTGACTTGCTGTGAGTTTCTGTGGTTGGAGGAGGATGGGCAGAAGAAGAGAAGCCTGGCTTCTGGTTCCAGGCTCACCGTGACATCTCCCTTACCAACAGCAGGCCTGCTGGTGCAATGCCTGGGGTGTTTGGTGCTAGGGGTCACCCTCCAGTCACCAGGGTTTTAGCCTGCTGTTCCCAGGGGGAGGAGATGTGGCTCCCACAAGTCCTTACAGGGTCCCCATTCCAGCCTTGGGGCCTTGATGTTTTAAAAGTCTGCAAACAATCATGTCGTTTCCCAAGGAGGGCCCCCCATGGTCTATCTGGTGGGGCCTTTGGGCAAAGCTTCCTCCCAGCAGCCTCCATGATACCCCAGGTCACAGGCCTACACCCTCCTCTCCAGCCCTTGTTTCAGACCTGCCAGTGTTGGGCTCTGCATGCCCCCAGGTCCCAAAGTGACCTTGGTTTGAGTCATCCAGATGTCCGCCCTCTCATCTGCCTCTTCCTCTTACTATTACAGGGTTCCATGTATTACAAGGGCTTTACAAGCCCGGGAACTTGGCTCAGACCCTCCACCTTCCAATGCAGGCCATAGTCATTCCCACAGCCCCCCTTCTCCAGTTTCCACCACCACCTGGGCCCAAGGGAGCCAGCACCAAACACTGGGAGGTGTAGGTTCTCAATCTGTATTTCCTCCTTTCTTCCCAGCTAGGGTCTTCACCTTTGTCCACTAAAAATTCAGGATATCCCAGTTAATTTGAACTGAGTTTCAGATAAATTTTAGCCTCATCCTAATTTGATGACATCTGTAGAGGCCTATTTCCAAATAAGGTCACATTCACAGGTCCCACATTGGCACTTTGTGTCTTTTGAGGGGACACCACCTATTTTAGGGGGCATTGAACTTGCCTCCATTTACCATTCTGGAGAGGGATGAGAGCAGGTGCCACTAATTGTATAGGTGATGCCCTCACCAGGTGCCCTCCCAAACCCACTTTAGAGAACGTCCACTACTCCTAACCATCATGAAAGATGTCATCCTGTGCCCCGCACCTGCGAAGGAGTTTCATCAGGTCCCATCAATCACACAGCCTTGAGTTAGCTGCCATGGGGCATCTGCTGAGCCCAGGCCAAAGTCTCCTGAGTATAGATGTTATTCAGCTAACCAGCAGTAATCCACCAAGCACCACTCCAGTGCCAGACAAGTACTCATGTGCCTGGGGTTGGCACAGCCAAGGCCTCAAACCTCAAGGAGCCCCCAAAGGCCCAAGCGAGAAGAGAGAATCAATTTCAGGCCAACAGATAGCACTGAGGGGTGAAGGTCGGGGGGGTCTTAGAGAGCTGGGGCCATGGGGTACAGCCGGATCAGGGTTCAGGACAGCTTCTCCAAGGAAGGGGCTTTTCAGCAGAGCCTTGGGGGACTGTAGAATCTAAGGGAGCCACCCCTGAGGGGAGAGCCCAGCTTCCCCAGGTGCTATAGGTGGGAGATGGCCACAGGCAGGGTGGGGATGGGGGACAGCAGGCAGATGGATGAGCCCTGAGCAGATGTTTGACCAGTGCCTGACAAGATGGCTGATGAGTGGTGCTGGAGCTTTCAGGATGTGTGCATGAGGTTCTCCAGCTCTGGATGCACATTTCACTCACCTGCGCTTTTTAAAATTCACAAATACACCCCACGGGAGTGATACCAATTGGCTTAGTGGAGAAGGGGTGGGCCACAGGATGGGACAGCAGGTAAGAGGGCCTGGACCTGGCGGGAAACAGCAGCACGGTGGGAAGCAGCAGTGGCACGCGCTGAAGGGCTTAACCAGGGGGCATCCTGGCCAGGCCTGAGGTTCAGAGCAGGGTACAAGAAGCGAAGCTGCACCTTAGGTACTGTCTGTTGCTGGGACCGCTGGGGCAGAGTAGAGAACAGGAGGCATCTGTGATGCTGCGCTTCCTCACAGTTCCGGGGCTGCAGGTTTAAGATCGAGACACCCACAGGACTCGGTCCATGAAGCCTCTCTGCTCCCTACAGGCTGCCATCTCCCTCTGTCCCCACAGACTTCGAGTCCTCCAGTGTTGGTTGTCTCTCTTAGTGTTACTAGATTACAGCTCACTTTTCTGGCCTCATCGAATCTTAATCACCCCTAATACAGTCACATCTACTGTAGTTAGGGCTTCAGCTCATTGGGCAGGGTGAGACATAGCTCAATCCACACGAGTGAGAGGCCTTTTCCTGGCTAGGGGCACAGCTCAGTGGTACAGCGCTTGGTAGCATGCAGCCCTAGGTCAAGCGCATGCTTCGGCAGCACATGTAAGACTGGAATAATATAGAGGTTGGCATGGCCCCTGCACAAGGAGGCATGCAAATTCACAAAGCCCTAGGTCAGATCCCCAGCACTGCAAACAAACAAAACAACAAAAGATTTTTTCCTTGCTTTGATGTATGAGAATGGATTTTCTCACTGGATATGGTCACTCGGGCAAAGCCAGGAGTCTCCCAGCTTTGCTGGGACAGTCTATCTCCAGGAACCCCTTTCCCCAAAAAATGACTGCAAGACCCCTGCAGACTCTCTTTAGTCCAGGATTCAGGCCCTGGACTCTGGGGAGCAGATCAGGGCAGCACTCTTAATCACTGGATCCAAAGGCCTGATTAGTGCTCGGGGTCTTATGCCAGGGCCAAGGCAGGTCCTCTCTGTGTCAGGCCAACTGGTGGCTGGTGCTCTCCAGCCCAGGAGAAATGAGATGAGGTATTATTATCCCTCCCTCTGCACACCTCCACTCCGCAGTCCCTGTGCCTAACCCAGGGTTTGCCACACAGGAACCTCCAATCAGTAGATAATACCATCCTCTCTCTGTGTCCTTTGGTACAGTATAGGGAGTTAATTCCAGAACCCCCAGCAGATAACCAAAACCCTTGGGTGCCCAATCCCTTATAGAAAATGCTGCAGTACCTGCATATAACTTACATATAGCCTCTAAATTATTTCTATGGCCAGCCACAGTGATACATGCCCGTAACCCCAGCTACCTAGGAAGCTATGGCAGAAGGACCACACGTTTGAAGCAGCCTAAATAATTTCACAAGGAGTGAGAAACTTACGTACCCCAAAATAAAAAATAAAAAGGGCTGGGGTTGTAGCTCAGTGGCTCAGCACCCCTGGATTCAATCCCCAATACTAGAGAGAAAACCTCTATAGATTAAATGTAATAACCTAATGCAATGCAAATGCTGTGTAAATGTTATACAGTACTGTTACTTAGGAAATGGCATGGAAAAATGTTTGTACATATGCATTATAGATCCAGGGTTCTGTTTTGTTTTTTATTGTTGGGGTATAGGGAGATTTTTTGTTTTGAGACAGGCTTTTGCCAAATTACCCAGGCTGGACTTACATTTGCATTCCTCCTGTCTCAGCCTCCCAGAGTGCTGGTATTACAGGCATGTGGCACCTATGGCAGCCCATTGGATAACACCAAGTCCCAGGGAGCCTGTGGACCTTCATTCCCTGCCTTGTGACTCTCTCTGAACTTTTCTAGTTGTCTGACCCTCAGCCATATTTTCAGGTTGGCCTTCCTAGTTTGTCCAGTTCAGCAGGTCACCCCATGGACAAAGCGAGATCTACCTAGTCTCCAGCAGAGCCTGGACCAGGTCTTCAGGTCCTTTGTTCTGAAGTTAGGGGTTGTGCGCATGGACTCAGAAAGTTGTCCATGCACAGGGAGTCTGCAAAGCACCTGCCCAACCTGTCCCATCAGACAGTCCTCCAAGGGTCCAGCCACTGTCTGTCTATCCCTGCATCTTCTGTAGGATGCAGCCCTAGGGCTGGGTCAGTGCCTGCACTCAAAGTCACAGAGTTAGGGAATGACAAATGTGATGGCCTCTAAAGAGAGCCCCTCCATTTATTCCCTCTTTGGGTATGGCTTGCTGTCCCCCCCGCCCCAGGTGTTTATTTCCTTTGCCTTGAATCTGGGCTGAGACTGCTTTGATAACAGGAAAAACACATTGCTGGCTGCAGAAGTGGCATTCTGGGACTTCTTGAACTCTGACCTTCAGAGAATTAGCAGTTCCTGTTTCCTTCCTCCTGAAGTGCATCTTCTGGGAGGGCTTGGCTGCCATGTGGAGAATGCCCAGAGGTTGCCTTTTACCTGTCTCAGCATGGCACACACCACCAGACACGGCACTGCCTGACTAGCCCACAGAATCAGGAAAAGTAATGAGTCCTTATTTTCTGCTGGAAGAATGGGGTTGCAGGTTATATGGCCATCGCTCCCTAAAATGGCAGGTTTTCTAGTTTCCCCTCCACCAGACTTTACTGGAGATCCATTTTTTCCAGCAGGAATCCACCCAAGCAGGACCAAACGGGCACAACTGGTCCATCAGTCCCCGGATGTCAACCAAGCAGAGCTGCTGCTGCCCAGGACCCTCATCAGAAATCCTGAGTGCCTACCACAGTGAGATCGTCTTAAGGGAAAGACAGATTCCCACAGGCTGCAGCTGGGGAGGATGCTTGCTGAGGAGTCTACCTTCTTTGGGGGGCTTTGGAGAAGGCCGGGTACCCATGAGCCCTCGCTGCCCTTTGAAATATCAAAATAAGAGTACATGCCAACAAGTAGAAGGGTCAGGAGAAGGTACTGGAACTAAACACTGAGAAGGGGAGACAGGAAGAAATATCTAAACTGTTAACCTGAAGTAGGAAAAGCAGTCTAACAAATGAGGCCATGCCCTCTCCAAAAGGTTTCACTACCTCTTCCCTCTCATGAGCAGCAGCCAGCAGCCTCAGTTTAGAGCCTGCTGCTGGCTGTGAAAGGTGATCAAAGGGAAACGTGCCAGGCTGCTCCTGGGCTGAAGGAAGAGGGCTCAGCCTTGCACTCACCTGTTAACTTTAGCAGTCAATACTGAAGACACCTCTTCAGTTTTTAATGAAGGCTGGGCTGTGTCTAATAGCCCTCTCATTTTGTGGATGAGCAGACAGGACATGGTGGCTGAGGGTTAGCCCCTGCCACACCAACCCAGCATCATTAAAGTTTTATCTACTCCGTGA